TATGCCATGGCAAGAAACCCGGTCCGGAATGCGCTCCAGAACCCACTCCGACCTGAAAACCTCCTTTATATACCTATTCAACGATAGAAGAATTGGTAGAACTCACGTCAAAATGCTGCCTACTCATACGATCGTACTCTCCGTTGGCTTTTAACGTAGCCAAAGCTCGATGCCATCGGTTACGTTCGTCATCCGTCATCATACGATATTCTTTGCGGTAAGCCATTGTCAGAATGGCTCCATTTGACAGCACACAGTTACCTCCTTGCATTTGTCCCTGTAATCGACAGCGCTTAACTCGGAATTCGCTCCAGCCGCCATAAGCATTGAACTTACCGCGAAGAAGGGACATAGACAGCCGAGCGTCATGCAGTCATATGGGTGATAGGCGACTTGACCACGAGAGTTTGGAGGAACGGGGATCGGCGTCAGCCATTCAGGCACCGCAGGTCGTCGTGGCCCCTGTTGTTGCGGGGTTGTTTGTCGTGTTCGTGGTGTTGAACCCTGTTGCCCGGCTCGCCTTTGCGATGGTGTTGTGGGTGTTCGATTCCTAGCAGCCTGTCTGGCAAGTCGTCTTCTTGTCAGTCGGTCCAAGGTTCGAATCTGAATTGGTTGAGTATTGCACTGACAACCGACACTACTCGAGCAAAGTTTCGTTCCCTTATAGGTTCCGACATGGCTGGCAGCGTTCCTATGGTGTGACCGATAATGTTTTCTAAACGACCGCCGAACCACCAAACAAACAAGATTTGTGGCGACGGACGGTACTACTCTCGATTCAGATCAACTCACCAAAAGACATGAAGTCTTGATATCGCTGTTAGGGGCATCGGAGCAGTCTCGAGGTGGTTCGATGGAGCTTACCCTGGCCGCGTCGGCTAGTAGCACTAGCAATAGAAGCGCCAATAGATAGCGCATGGCTGAAAGAGTGCGATCTCTCGATTGCAAAGCCCTCGGGCGGTATTTATAGGAGAACGGACAGCATGAAATGTAGGCGATGAGCTGTACAGGAGAGGCGAGCAGTACACATTACTCATAACGTGATGACAAGTTGAATAGGTGGCACATATTGTTTGGCATTTCTGAAGAGCAGAGCAACAAACGAGAAAAACTGTAAAAACCCATGCCCAAGGCGTTTCCGCAACCACATTTACACCATCTCCCGTTTGGCAACTACCCGAGTATCCCTCGAAACGGGTTTGTCACTGTCGCGCAGGTCGAGCAAGTGCGCGAGCGAGAGTGCCATTGTGTTTTGCGACATCCAAATGAGGTTTCTCGGAAACATACCACCAGCTGACCATAGTATAATGGTTTACCAAGCTGTTGTAAACCCTTATACCAAATTCAAATGCTACCAGTGACTATCATCGTCCAAATATTTTCTATTATGGGTAGCCAGCTGAGGGAAGCTATTCCTGGTACTCCTGGTTCTGGTGACCGAAGAACAAAGAGGAGTACAGTAGATAACAGCGAGGGATGGAACTCGAACTGGTAAGGGTAAAGACTACAGTTACTCGTCTCAACCAGAACGGCAGACGAGACTGAGCCGGGGTGCTGCGTACGTGAATACCACAACCCCAACTATAAAAGAGGGTAGTTGACAAGGCTACTGGAACCCGATACAGACTGCATATAGATAACCAAATAGAGCGTCATGGCAGAGTGGCAATGGCAGAATTTCGATTTCCACTGTTGATACCGAATTCCCAAAGAGAATCGAAAATGCTCTCCCATACAATGATAGCAGAATATAGAGAAAAGTAAACGGTTGAAGGAAATAAGTTATCGCGTTTGCCTGGGAACACATAGCGGTGTCACGTATGAAATAAGAAATTCAATGAGGAAAAGAATGTTTGTGAATGTGTGTCTGTGTATGTGATCGCTGACGAGCATGAGAGAGGTAGCCGGGCTTTTATAGGGGACGTTTCGTGGGGTCGAAGGTGTGGTGTCCCCGGTTGGAAGGCGGGGTCATGGGGCGGGCTTCGCCCTACACATGGGCGCTCACGTCGAGACTGTCACGTATTAACATCACATTTCACCAGCTTCTCATCGCCTTCAAATTTATCAATCCTGACAGACATTTGTGGAAGTCTCTGGCGAGGGCAGTGCCTCTGACGACATCCCCGACATGAGTATAGGTGGGCCAGAAGTCCTTGAGCATCTCTTTGCTTGGCTGTCAGTGTGGGTCATGCTGAGAATGAATTCTGTTGGCTGCCGACTGGAGCTGGTGACCTTTAGAGTTTGAAAAACTGAAAAGAAATGGCGAAAAGGGTTAAACATCGCTTTTATGGAATCGTTTGTTACCTGCCGTTGTTCATTTGCAGATCGTCGCTCCTTGAGTCAATCATTTTAATCGTCTTCTATTTCCTATTTACGACTTAATCAAATGACAACATAGTGATTTCGTTAGGGTCATGGCCAATAGATCTGCAACAGCATACTAGACCGGTTTCGAGTAATTGCTTTCAGCAGAATCTTTTTAGAATCTTTCCGAAAATCACTCCATTTAAGTCGTTCCGAAGATCGGCCACTGGCACGCGTCTTTGCCGTCTCGAAGATCTCGAAAGAAGAAATAAAATAAACTTTTTTTACATCCCCTCAAATCTGAGGTTTTTAGGATCGTGCAGTGGTAGAGGCTCAGCTCTGTTAAGTGAATTTCACTTCAAGAATATTTATCGTTGGGCACAATGCCCTTTAGTGATTCGAAGCAAGCTGACTCCTTTATCAAACATTTCCCAATGGCAGTCAAGTACGCGGCTCATCCAAAGGAATTCGGAGGCCTTTTTCATTTCTCAATCGAGGACACTCCCTTTTTAGAATCGAAAGCGTAATATTGCTAGAGCCGTTACCAAAATGTGCAAAAGATTTTTTGAATCGGTTGGGTTCCTGAAAGGGTAGGGGCTTTGTTCCCCTCGAAACTACATCAGTCAAAAAATGAGCAACTATACAAAGACAACCTTTTAAAATGATTTGTAAAGGGAAATAGTGATTTAATGAAAACTACAAAGTATGAAGTTGGACTCTCCCATCTACCCCGTCTATTTTTATTCCTTTTCTCCCTTTTTGAAAGGCGTCGAACCGTCTGGCTGGATCTCACCAAGCTCCGCCCCCCCTAGAGGCCGTCAGAGAACTACTTGTCCCTAAGGGCTTCAGCTTACCTATTGCTCCATGGGCTAAGCCATACTCATTTTCTTCGTAGGATTTAAAAGGCCCTGTTACTGTTTTCAGGGTTTTCAAGTTGTCAGCACATAGATATCGATTTGAGTGATTCTAATAATTTCTACCTCCCAGTGTACTCGAGCCTATGACACACTGTAATCTTCGAAATCGTCCCAATCTCTTCATTTCCCGCTAATTACATCTACATCACTTCAAAATCCTAAAAATAATGACTGACCAGTTCTTTTACCCTCAACCAGCATATTTTTCACTCATTTTCACACCGTCGATCCATCCAGAGAAAGTTCCTCAACTTCAAAATTCTGTAAATTTCTTCTGCTAAGTGATTGCCCGCTTCTTCCACCTGCTTCCCTCACTCTTTTCGTCTTTCCTTTGTCATTTCTTTGTCCCACATGTTCCATAGAGGATTTCTTTTGGTCTCTGATTCCTTTTCATAGTGGAAACTTTAATGACACAGAAGAATTGTGATCTCAATAGCGTCAGAACTTGCTGCATGCTTTAGTCTTTACTTTGCTGCCAGTGCTTTTATCTTCCCAGTCGTGTTTGTTACCAATTAAACGACCTCGAACGGATAGAACGCTCGGTTGGTTAAGATGAATACCGGTAGGGGATTCGATCCCTTGGCCATGAGCGTGTGATAGTGCCTTAGTTGCCACTACACCTCCTCTGCCTCCTCAAATAAAGAATTTGATAATAAGGCTGTGTTCCAGTTAGTCTTCCTTATCTATCATTCGAAACGAAGACCGTAGTGCGTTAGTTAGTTTAGCATTTATAATTTCTAAAGAAAAATCATTTCTTCAAGGAGCAATTCTTTTCCTTTAGTCGGCGTCTTTCAAGAAGCTTTTTACAATAATATTTTAATTTATTTTTGGAATATTCGGACATTGCCGAACATTACGCAAGAATTATGTTCCGAGAATGCCATTTAGTCATGTCACTTTTCAGAAAATCCATTTGTCACTCTTTTTTTGGAATGAATTTTGATTTTCTATCTCTCATTTCAATAGGCGGAAAATTTTCTTCTCAAAAGGGAATCACGAGCTGAATGAGCGATAGAAAAAAGTCCAATAACACCTGCAGCGTTCTTTCAGCGATAGATAACTAGTTTCCCAGGTAACTTATCAAAATATTCCTCAGAGATGAAAATCTCAAGAACGTTCCCATAAAATCACTTTCACCTATTCCGAACACACTTCTTCTTCTGAATAAGCAGTACATTGGCACCGAAATTCCTCCCGCGTCTTGCATCATAGCAGCTCGATATTATCAACTACAAAAAATCGATAAATAAATAATCGATGAGCTCGATTACCGGTCGAGTTATCCAGTTATTGTTCATCAATCATCAAAGGTCATTAAAACTACTTGATTGCCGAAATTACGAGAACTGTTGAAAAAAGGGAACTGTTCGGGCAACTGGTAATGTGCGTGTGTGCGTAGTTGCCTTTGATTTCGCGGCGATCATAGAAAAGGAACAACCGGCCCCTCATCTTTGTGTAGCTTTTTGAACTGCCATCGAACTCGATATTCAGACCAATTTCGAGGTTTTCAGGTGAGAAAAGCGAGTATTTTGAAGTGCATCGAGAACTACTATTCAGAACGACCCTGAATAACATAAATTGCCTACAAAATTGGAAGGGATTGGCTCACCTTATGAAGTACTGGAAATGAATTTCGAAACGACTAATTGAGAATTCTTTTTATTCGAAATTATCAGAGAAAAGGTTTGAAATGTATTCAACAAAACCTGGATTTTTGTTCTTGGATCTAGCTTAATTCTTTTGAGGTTCCTCCTCTTCCACCTCTCCCCTCCCAGTTTTCGATCAAATTATATGCTTCAATAACTGGGAGATAGTTTGTGGTCCTTAGTTTTTAAATGCAGTGGGAATTGAAAAGATATTAAAGAATTCGTTTTCCTGAACTTTTTTTTTCTTTTACTGAATCATTCGAAATTGGATTTTCCTATAAATCTAGGAGTCAGGGAGAACTCTTAAGGAAGATTAACTTTTCGAAACGTATAAGATGACTGAGAATTCCTCGATTAAGACCACATCTCCGAGTCAAGAAAAAAAAANAAAAAAAAACTGGAGGTTTAATCACAAGGTCAAAGAAATTGATTGGAGAAATTGTGAAGTACCGCTTTTTTCATTGCTGGAGTTTATGGTAGTTACCATAATTTTACAGTAATCATTTGGAAATTCCATCTTTCGGTCGAAAATTCCAATCTCGGACAAGTCTTCGACCCTGCTCCTCGGGCAACTGCTTATCTAATTGAACCACTACATACTCTGGATCCTACATAGCATTTCGATTTACTAAATGAAGATAACCCTTCATTTAGTAAATCGAGATGGTGAAGTACAATTGTGGATTTGGCTCCAATCCATGCTTTTTCATCGTTCTCTCATAGGCAACGTTTCCTTTACACTTTTTAAAGAGCTCCCTGAAGAGCGTGGAAAAGAAACAGCCTGGGTAAGAGAGTTCTGGATAGTAACAATTAAGCTCTACCTTGAGTCCTACCAAGAATTCAGTCCTTTAGTGAAACATGATGCTAACGACAAAACTAGTTCTCAGTTTAAAAAACCAATTGATTGTTGCGAAAAGGTACTCTCGAGAGTTTGAGTGTTTTTTATTTCAATTTTTCCTTACTTCTCTCAATTTCCTTTTTTTGTTGTTGAAAAAATGTATGGGTTTTATGAGAGGTCTTTCCACTTGAAGGATTTTTTTACCCAATTTTC